ACTTAGACGTTTACCTAGTTGTGATAAGGACATAAAACAATGGAAGTACCACTTCCCATAAGGGTTTATGGTAGTAAACCCAAGGGAAAATACCCTTAGGCCGTAAACACCTCAAGGAGGGTGTTTTGTGGTCTTAATCCATTCAAGAGCTAAACTACTTAGCAAGGGTACTTCTATGGACTTGTTAAACTCCAAAACAACTCATGGATTGCAAATATTTGGAGTTTGGACCGTAAACCCTAGAGTTTACTACCATAAACTCCAAGGGTAAAGGTCATTTAGACCGTGAACTCCCAAGGAGTTTACCCTTGGACCCCAAACACCCTAGTTATGCCCTACTAGCACTCGGATGCAAACCTTGTGAACTTTAACACTTGAAACAAAGTGTTTTCAGGTTCTAAAGTGTCCCAACTCATATTATTAGTTATAATAAGGCTAACTAGTTATACATATGCTCATTATATGATAACTAGGCTCGTGCGTGTGTACAAGTCTCCGTTTGCCACCTAGCACGGTATCCGATACTTCAATCCAATCCACTCACCACAAGTGAGTTCATACCCCTTTAATTAACCTTTGAAATACTTTTAAACGTTTTAAATACTTTTATGGGGGGGGGGATACAAGTTAAATACTTATAGTTATTACATCAATCACATGTGATTAATAACTATAAAACCAATGATTTTATCCTTGTTCAAACTATTTATCAAACTACTTTACTTCAAAATGTTTTACAAACTCTTTTCTTACTAAATACTTTTATTTAAACTTTTTTTACTTCTTATAAATTGCATGCCCATATATGTATAGATATATAAGAAATGTTTAAAGGGCTTAGGAAGGCCATCCGCCCTATTTCCTTTTCCTCGATTTGGGTGTGGTCTGGTGGGATGTCGGGTAGCCGTCTGAGGGTCGTTTCAATATTAATTATATATCATATATGCATATATAGACATAAAAGTACTTCCATATTCATGCGTATCAGTTACATCATTATTAAGTTACCATCGGGGTAACACAGGATCATACTACTACAATTTCTAGATCAATGAGTCAGTTCATTCATGAGTCAATACTTATTACTATGAGAACATATACATTACATTACTATGAGTACATATACAACTATACTAGAGAAGAACATATACAACTATACTAAGAAGAGAACATATACAACAATACTAGAACAAGTAACATTACGTTATACATACATGAATACGTTAACAATTGTGATCCACTGTATCGGAGCATGCCTTAAATGTCATGGCCCGAGTTGTAGCCAGAATTCTCTTGGAGGGAGAGCATGAGTTTGCGTATAGATCTATACTGGATTGACTATCCTACACCTTGCTGCTAGCTATAGCCGGACCTGCAGGTCTGCGGGTGCCAAACGTCATTCCATTTTACGACCATTCATATGCCGTTGTTACCAGTCAATAGTATGGTGCAATTACTCACATGATGCCTTAATATAAATCCAGTTTAAGGTAGTTAGTACAACAGTAGTTCCTATAATACAACACTACAGTACTACATTAATTTACTCTTTACACAATTACTGATCTTTTCACTTAAACATTTATGTACAAACTATATTTTGAGAATGATAGTTACACCTGAGTAAATTACACACTTTTACAGTAAACGAACATACAAAATAGTTAAGCCTTGGTAGAAGGCTACTTTAATAGAAAATATAGGTTTTTTTGAGAGATTCAAACTTTTACAAACACTTGCATACATTTTACAAACTTACACTTAAGACATGTTCAAACGTTTTGATAACAAACACCGACACTAAAATACTTATGAAATCACCAGCTTTATGCTGATAAACTCTTTCAAAATAATTTGTATTCTCAGGTCATCAGTACACAGGTACCGATGCCAGCTTTTGAGAAGATAGAGCGCATCCAAGACTCCTCTTATTATTTTGATTTACAGTATTTTTGGTGTCTATAACTGTAAAGAACACACTTGTATTAAAATTATATATTTAATGCAATGGATGATGTTGTTTGCTTATTTACTGTTATACTGTGTTGTGATACTTTACATGACGTCCTCCACCCCAGAACGTTTCCGCCATTCATGGTTTTGGGGTGTGACAGATTGGTATCAGAGCATTGTTTATAGTGAATCAAGTATATCAACCCATAAAAGATATACTAAACTATAAACCTATTTGGGATTAAAACACTCTGATCAAGAGTCTATACTTTAAATACTAAGATATTTAATTAAGTATACTAGTATACATTCATACTAAAACCAATGTCACAACAACAAGAACAAAAGTATTACGATTGTTAAATATCACAGGTAAGCTCGAGGATATATAGTCAGTCTTGGGAATGGCATAGCCTGATCAACTATGCTGGTCCGAGGAGTGATTAGCATATGACATAGAATGGTTGTGATGTGTTAACAAGTCTAGAAACGTGCCAACAATACCACAAGAAGATCATTAGAACCTAAACTTAAACTACTATAGGTGTATTTTGTACTACTAGCTACATATATACTATATCCTTATACCTGTCTTCTCGCGTAGATTTAAATGGCTGGATTCCATCACGGCGACCCGTACTTTCCAAATGAAGGTAACACAGGATGGCTCGAAGCAGAGTCCGATGATGAGCACCAAATTCCGTTGGATGATCATCAAGCTGAAGGCTTCTCGGATGGATCAGACTCTGAGCCCGAAGTCAACAACCTACCTTTAGTTGGACAAGCCCCAAACAACAACCCTCGACCAGCCTTTCCAGGTCCCACTCCCTTGTGGGTAAATAATTTGAATCGCTGGAGTGACGAACAGGGTCAGCCCTTACCTTACTTTGGGGACCGAACCTTTTACCACGTTAGCGATGGTGGCTCTGCGGATCGAGCTCTGCCCGTCATGATCCGCAGAATAGCTCGCAATGATGAACAAGGTCGAGCGGCCATCGATCGAGTCATGGAGATTGATGCCAACTCTGGTATCAACACATTCCGCCTCCGCCGTCTCGAAGAAAACATGGAACGGACCCGGAGAACCAATGAAACCCTGCAGCAACATCTGATTGCCTCTCAAGCAGAAGTCATGGAACTTCGAGCTCGTCAAAGGACTCATGAACGAAACCTTCAAGAAGTAATACATCAAATAAGAGACCTCAGGGGTCTCCCGAGGAATACTCATCGCTGTTAGAAGATGTCTAGTACATCTTTATCTTTTGGGTTAAGGATTAGCCTTTAACATCTGTGCTCTAAGTAACACTTATCTGTAAAATATTCCTAACTTTCAGTACTCTAATTAGAAATATAAGATCTGCCAAACTTTTCCGTCTGGCATGATGTAAGAGCTATTGTTAGGTCGATTTTCCCTGAACTTATTACATCGGTAATACCAGTACTATTGACATCTATCTAATATGTGGGAAAAATCTTTACACTCTTGTTTTCCTACTAATCTTCCTTGTTATGATCTCAAACACTCCTTCAAATGTTGGGCTATGGTTAGTTAGTCCATGTGTCACTCTCACCTTACGTACAAATTGATTCTTACCACTTTGCTTATCTTTATAAACTTATAGCTAAAAGATGCCTCCTTGCAAATCTCTCCGAAATAACCCTGCACCTCCACCGCCTCCTCCACCTCTGGTTTTTCTGGTTCTAAACCCACTTTATCCGGTTCGAAGCTACCCACTTTTATGTTTTCCGGTTTTCCGATTCTAAACCCACTTTACCCGGTACCGTACCCGAAACCGAACCAGAACCGGTTCCTATATACGGGTCCGATTTACGGTTCTAAAAATTCCCGTTAACCGGTTCTTGGTTTTCTGGGTCTGGGTCCATCCGGTCCCAGTTTGGACTCACTTTCATCCCTATTGCCAGCTATACACGTTATTGGTTTAACCTGTAAAAAGAGAAAAAACGATTTTTTTACAAGTTTCCGGTATATAACGAACAACAACTCTGTCAAATGGTGAAACCGCAAATTCCTGAAAAACTTAACGGTTTTAATGGCATAATCCTTATTTTCAAATTTTCATTTGGCCCTAATACCTGAATGCTTCTTCACGGCCACTGTTCACAATCAATGAGTGATGCCTGATGTCAGAATTTTCCACTCAAGTCAGTTGTCACGACGTGAAAATCCAATAATCATTTGACAAAACCTTCCCAAAAATAAGAATCAAAACGCATAGTGTGCACCAACAATGACCTTGTGCGAACTCTCCTTTTCCAAGCTCATTTGCCAACATGGGCCAAAACATAGATTATAAATACACAAAACATAAGTACACGAAATTTCTTTTCTTTTCATTATATTTCATAAATGTTAATAGTTTTCTTAAAAATAACATCTGTGGTTTCATAGCTACTTACATCCGGCCAATAAATTGCATACCTCTCAAAGCCACTTCACCACCACTTCAATATTCAGCTTAGCATCAAAAAAAATGTTTCAAGTGGTTCTCAAGGAAAGTTGGTGTTTTGATCGACAGGACTTGTATTTGAAATCACATTTATACGGCCCGCAGATTCTCATTCCCCGATTTGTGATTTCCTTCATTGTGGGTGTTATTAAGTATTATCAAATCATTTAGAGACTTTGGATTATTTGGAATTTTGCACTTGAATCTGCTAACAACTAATGGTAAACTTTGTTATTTGGTCAAAAGTATTAATTGTTCATTCGAACCTTCGTTTGATCAAAAAAGAAGTCACACATTTCAACATGTTTTTCTTGAGTGATTGTTTCGTTCGAAATTTCCTATACTCGGAGAAGTATATGCATATTCGAAATGACATTTAGGCTTGTAATATTTCTGATGCATTATATATATATATATATATATATATATATATATATATATATATATATATATATATATATAAATGCATCTTTACAAATATTTAATTTCTGAGATATATTTTGTAATTTACATGTTTCCTTGTAATAACATAACCGTAAATACACTTAATTTACAATAATTACCCTTGATGTTCCACAATTATGCAGTCGGGTAGGAAGCCATCATGGCAATGCCACAAAGGCCTTCTTGCGCATCAACATCTCTTTGCATCATTATGTACCCCTCTTGACCCCAACTTGTTCCCCAAGAGTTCTTCACCAACCAATATTTAGTTCCGTCAGCACTTGCTCCATAACCAACCGCAGTAACACCATGGTCTAGTTCAGTACCACATTCTCCTGTAAACACCCCGCTAGAGTAGAATTGGAAGTCGGACCCACTAGCATCAATGGCCACAGAAATAGGCTGACTAGCTACAGCTTTCAATAGTGCACTTTCACTATTAGCAGGAACATCTTCATGACCCGTAATGGCTGCAGCATGGTTAGATTCCTCGTTGTTGTTGCAGGTGCCATCGACTCCTTTGTACGGGTAGTGGCTCTCTGTAGTAAGACCTTTATTGTTCAAAGGCGTCGTCCATAAGACCGCCCTCACATCCCTGATCCTGTCCACCGGTGTCACAGTCCACGAGCTCTTGTTCGGATAGAGAGACCAATTTACCTGTTTTCAGTTGGGTTATTCCTTCCATAGCTGCCACAGCTGAAAACGCCCAACAACACCCTACAAACATATATGATGTGATATCGAGTTTAGATATGGTCTTGTAAGAAAACATAACTTTATTAGTAATTAGACTACGTCTCAAGTTTGAAATTTCCGTAGTAGTTTTAGCTTACCACATTGTCCTTGGTCTTTAACAGGTGTTACTGCGCCTTTCTTTCTCCAGTCCATTGATGATGGAACTGCTGTCACATTTTCATACCTGAAAGCAGAGGTCGATGGGGAACATTCATGTGCCTTGAATCAGTTCCTTGTGCTCGTGAACTCTTCGTTTGTGAGGTCTGCAAACTCATTAACTGCTAGTTTGTAAGCTTTGTTCATGACACTATTGGATGACTCTATGTAACGAACATTCTCTTGAAAAATCTTTGAACGTTGTTCTTTCTCATCGGCATCCTTGTACACGCGTCCATAATGAGCGATCCATTGTTCGTGGCTCTCGTAGCTTGGAGCTTCAGGGAGCAACCTAGATGTAGTGTGTGAAAGCAAAGTAGCGTAGAAAAAGATTAATGCCAAAAAAGTTTGGGTTGTCCGGTTAATTGATGTCATACTTTTGGTAGATACAAGAGAAAATGGATGTGAATGATGATTTGGAATAATTTCTTTGCCCACAGGTCTACTTTATATAGAAACATGTGGTTTCATCATTGTTTGGGAATATATATATATATATATATATATATATGTATGTATATATATATATATATATATATATCACCGTTCGTGGAAGATATGATGTTCAGTTGATGTATATTAATTAATATGAGGAAAACATACATGTTACGTTGTTTAGATTTATGATTGATACCACTAATTTACTTGGATTTTTCCTTTGGACTATACTCATGTTGACTAAAATTGTTGTGTACTAATTTGTTTTCTTAGCATAAGCATAGGTGGGTTATATAAAAGCTTACAGAACATAGTTTGGCCATTATTTTGGAGTGTAGTTGTGTCATTTATGAAAGAAATTCTCTAAAGGTCTGATACGTATAACATATTTTTTTATTTCTAACATTTTTTTATTACTCGCTTTTAGATGTTCAAAACGCAGAAATGCATGCCTTTATTCTATTTATCTCCATCTTGGTTTATGTTAACTTTACCGACACATTCAATGCATTTTAAGAATACAAGACAATAAAGTAATTTGATTGGTTATACAAAATATCAATCTCATCACAACATACATTGCAATTACAAGAAGCTTGTTATATGTAATATATCTTGATCCCTCAACCAGACTTGCAGTATCCCCAAAACGATCAAGAAAAATAATATTTCAAGAGGGATTATGCCATAAAACCCATAAGTTTTTAAGAAATTTACAGTTTTACCTTTCGACAGAATTTTTGTTCGTTTATACCATAAAGTTGTAAAAAAAAATTGGTTTTGCCCTTTTTACAGGTAACTTTTATTGCCACATGGACGATCTGTTGGAAGGACTCGGTGGCGTGTCACGCTTTTTATGTTTCATATCTCGAAAACATAGTATATAATGTATATTACAGAAACAGTTTAAAATACAATATCTGTATATATATTGTGTATACATTTTAAATTACGTATTTTTTGTATCTCGCAAAAATAGTAATTATTGTTATTATTATTATTATTATTATTATTATTATTATTGTTATTATTTTACGCTGTAATAATAATAATAAACCGGACAACCCAGACTTTTTTGGTATTAATCTTTTTCTACGCTGTAATAATAATAATAATAATAATAATAATAATAATAATAATAATAATAATAATAATAATAATAATAATAATAATAATACTTATTATTATTATTATTATTATTATTATTATTATTATTATTATTATTATTATTATTATTATTAAAACTATTATTAGTTTATTATAAATTGTTTCAAAAATAAACAATATATATCAAGTTTTCGAGTTATAAAACCCAAAAGGACATGTAGTTGAGTTGTTTGTTTATTGCTTTATGAGTTGGAGGTGGTGGGTTCGACTCCCTCAATTTGCTTTATCTGGGTTTCAGTATTACGGGTTTGGGTCCATCGGGTCCGGGTAAACCGGGTTTAAAAACCGGAACCACTTTTACTGTCGTAACCGGTTTTTGTGGGAATCGTTTATAAGATGCATATTTTATTCGTTTCAACTCCGATTGATATGCGGTTTATTCCAAATTCTAGTTTAGAGTTTGTACATAATTTTAGACTATAAATTTGTCATTTTTAGTTTTATATTCGTTGGCTTACAGTCCCCCAAAGTCGAGATATCAAAGCTGAACGTTTTTAGTTTTTCAGTTTTTTTGCATTATCTGACAGTTTTAAAACATGCATGTCTTATTCGTTTGAAACCGAATTGACATGTGGTTTTTTCCAACTTATAGTTTAGCGTTTTTGCATGAGTTTAAACTATAATTTTGTCATTTTGGTTTAATATTCAATGATTTGCAGTCCCCCGAAGTCGGGATCTCAAAAATGAAAATTAGCTATATGTTTATGTACTTTGTATTATGTGAAAATGTTAACACATGCATATCTCATTCGTTTAAAGTCATATTGACATGCTGTTTTTTTCCATACTGTAGTTTATAGTTTGTACATGATTTTAGACTATAATTTTGTCAATTTTGGTTTTATATTCAATGAGTTACAGTCCCACAAAATCGGGATATCAATATGATACTTTTCAATGTTAAAACCACTAAGTAGTAAACAATTAGTAAAAAATTCTGGTTTTTCTGGTGCTAAACCCATTTTATCCGGTTCGAACATACCCACTTTTATGTTTTCCGGTTTTCCGATTCTAGACCCACTTTACCCGGTTCCGTACCCGAAACCGAACCGGAACCGATTCCTATATACAGGTCCGGTTTACTGTTCTAAAAATTCCCGTTAACCGGTTCTTGGTTTTCCGGGTCTGGGTCCATCCAGTCCAGTTTGGACCCACTTTCATCTCTATTTCCAGCTATACACATTACCGGTTTAACCTGTAAAAAGAGAAAACACTATTTTTTTTACAAGTTTCCGGTATATAACGAACAACAACTCTGTCAAATCGTAAAACTGCAAATTCCTAAAAAACTTAAGGGTTTTGATGGCATAATCCCTATTTTGAAATTTGCATTTGGCCCTAATGCATGAATGCTTCTTCACGACCACTTTTCACATTCAATGTGTGATGCCCGATGTCTGAATTTTCCACTGAAGTCAGTTGTCACGATGTGAAAATTCAATAATCATTTGACAAAACCTTCCCAAAAATAAGAATCAAAACGCATAGTGTGCACCAACAATGACCTTGTGCGAACTCTCCTTTTCCAAGCTCATTTGCCAACATGGGCCAAAACATAGATTATAAATACACATAACATAAATACACGGAATTTCTTTTCTTTTTATTATAAATTCATAAATGCTAATAGTTTTCTTAAAAATAACATCTGTGGTTTCATAGCTACTTACATCCGGCCAATAAATTGCATACCTCTCAAAGCCACTTCACCACTACTTCCATATTCAGCTTTGCATAAAAAAAATGTTTCAAGTGGTTCTCAAGGAAAGTTAGGGTTTTGATCGACCCGACTTGTATTTGAATCCGGTATCACATTTATACCTCCCGCAGATTCTCATTCCCCGATTTGTGATTTCCTTCATTATGGGTGTTATTCAGTATTATCAAATCATTTAGAGAGTTTGGATTATTTGGAATTTTGCACTTGAATCTGCTACCAACTAATGGTAAACTTTGTTATTTGGTCAAAAGTATTTATTGTTCATTTGAACCTTCCTTTGATCAAAAGACAATTCACACATCTCAACATGTTTTTCTTGAGTGATTGTTTCGCTCGACGTTTCCTATACTCGGAGAAGTATATGCATATTCGAAATGACATTTAGGCTTGTAATATTTCTGATGCATTATATATATATATATATATATATATATAATATATATATATATATATATATATATATATATATATATAATTGCATCTTTACAAATATTTAATTTCTGAGATATATTTTGTAATTTACACGTTTCCTTGTAATAACATAACCATAAATACACTTAATTTACAATAATTACCCTTGATGTTCCACAATTATGCAGTCGGGTAGGAAGCCATCATGGCAATGCCACAAAGGCCTTCTTGCGCATCAACATCTCTTTGCATCATTATGTACCCCTCTTGACCCCAACTTGTTCCCCAAGAGTTCTTCACCAGCCAATATTTAGTTCCGTCAGCACTCGCTCCATAACCAACCGCAGTAACACCATGGTCTAGTTCAGTACCACATTCTCCTGTAAACACCCCGCTAGAGTAGAATTGGAAGTCAGACCCACTAGCATCAATGGCCACAGAAATAGGCTGACTAGCTACAGCTTTCAATAGTGCACTTTCACTATTAGCAGGAACATCTTCATGACCCGTAATGGCTGCAGCATGATTAGATTCCTCGTTGCTGTTGCAGGTGCCATCGACTCCTTTGTACGGGTAGTTGCTCTCTGTAGTAAGACCTTTATTGTTTAAGATGAAATCAAAGGCGTCGTCCATAAGACCGCCCTCACATCCCTGATCGTGTCCACTGGTGTCACAGTCCACGAGCTCTTGTTCGGATAGAGAGACCAATTTACCTGTTTTCAGTTGGGTTATTCCTTCCATAGCCGCCACAGCTGAAAACGCCCAGCAACACCCTACAAACACATATGATGTGATATCGAGTTTAAATATGGTCTTGTAAGAAAACATAACTTAATTAGTAATTAGATTACGTCTCAAGTTTGAAATTTCCGTAGTAGTTTTAGCTTACCACATTGGCCTTGGTCTTTAACAGGTGTTACTGCGCCTTTCTTTCTCCAGTCCATTGATGATGGAACTGCTGTCACATTTTCGTACCTGAAAGCAGAGGTCGATGGGGAACATTCATGTGCCTTGAATCGGTTCCTTGTGCTCGTGAACTCTTCGTTTGTGAGATCTGCAAACTCATTAACTGCTAGTTTGTAAGCTTTGTTCATGACACTGTTGGATGACTCTATGTAACGAACATTCTCTTGAAAAATCTTTGAACGTTGTTCTTTCTCATCAGCATCCTTGTACACGCGTCCATAATGAGCCATCCATTGTTCGTGGCTCTCATAGCTTGGAGCTTCATGGAGCAACCTAGATGTAGTGTGTGAAAGCA